GTGGGTCTCTGCCTTACACGGGTCGGTCTCTGCCTCACACCGGTGAGTCTCTGCCTTACACGGGTCAGTCTTTGCCTCACACCGGTGGGTCTCTGCCTCACATAGGTCAGTCCCTGATTCTCTGCGTCCAGTTGGTCTCTGCCTCCATCTCCGCAGTGTGCTGGCCATCTGGGGGGCTCCACTCAGGCTCAGGGCCTGCATGGAAAGCAGGTTCTGGGGCAGCTCACGCCCAGGGTGGCCTGGTCTGTCATAAGACGGGGCCTTGTGCCTGAGCCTCCAGTCATAGTTCTTACATTTTAGGGTGTGATGCTCCCATCTGTCTAATTTGTTAGGAGAAGACAGAGAGGAGAAAAGAAAAAGAAACCAACTCTGAGAAGCCATTGTGTTTTCATTTGTCTTATCAGAACTTTGCGCTTGGAGATTCTGTGCTTTTGTGGAGGACACTGGGGATGCTGTCTAAGAAGAAGGTACAAAGCATTACCCTGTGATTACATTGGTCATGGGAAGAAATACAAAGTGTTCCTCCGAAGCAGGAGTTCTGACTGGGGCCAGTGGATCCATGTGGCCATGAGTTAATTCTGTGGGGGCCAGGGAGCACAATGGAAGCAGGCATGTGTGGCTGTGGATCTGCCCGGTAGAAGCAGGCGTGTGTGGCTGTGGACTTGCCTGGTGGAAGCAGGCATATATGGTTGTGGACCTGCCCAGTGGAAACAGGCATATGTGGCTGTGGACCTGCCCAGTGGAAGCAGGCATGCGTGGCTGTGGACGTGCCTGGTGGAAGCAGGCATGTATGATTGTGGACCTGCCCGGTAGAAGCAGGCCTGTGTGGCTGTGGACCTGTTATGAGGAGATGATCGTGCTAATTCACTGAAAGTTCATGATCCATCCAGGCCAAGACGCCTCTCCTGAAAACAGAACTTGGAGCGTTGATTCACAGGTTTGAGAAGTGCTGGCAGAGCCTTATGGGATGGCACCATTTGAAAGGGCGCCTGTGACGAGCTTCACACAGGACACCCCATAGAGGGTGGGAAACACGTCTGCGAGGGAGGTCCCCAGCCAGGCAGGGCACACGGGACACCATCTTTTCAAATTTAACCATCACACTTAAAATATCTCATGACACAGATACCTGCGAAAACATTTATCCCTCAGCTCAGATAAACTGCGGGTGTTTAAAGGGAGACAGAATGTGGGGGAGAGAAACGAAGCAAGGGCCTTTGGCCATGGGTCCCTCCAGGACCACCCCACCTCTGGAGCCGGCAAGAGATACCTCTGAAGAGACCCCCGAGTGAAGAGCCCCCGAGCGCTTCCTGCACGCAGAGCCTTTGTTGAGAGGACAGCCTCCTTCAGGATGAGCCGTTCTCCCACCCCCACCCTTACCTGGCTGGCGGCCAAGGTGACTGTCTCCTGAGCTCCCAGCAGCTTTGCAAAACCCTGAGTTGAAGCAGCATCCTCATTCCAGCCTGAGCTCTTCTCCTTCACTGTGACCTCCACCTGGCAGCTGGAATGCAAAGAGCAGGCAACAGGGCAGGTGGCTACACAGGGCTGGGGGGGCGCCCACCAGAAGCATCTCCATAGCTGGATACCCCAGGGCATACCTGGTGTCCATGGCTTCCCCATGCTCACCCGCCGCCCCCTGCTTCCCAGCCTATTCTAAGGTACATCTGTGCACTGCTCATAGTTAGCCCATCCTCACCTGCCCTTCCTCACCTGCCCATCCTCACCTGCCCTTCCTCACCTGCCCATCCTCACCTGCCC